TTCCAGGCCATGTCACAGTGCTGGTTTCAACCTTTTAAGAAATGGGCTGCATGTAATGATTATGCCCTCCTGTATAGACCAGTGCAGAACCCAAGATACTCTTCAGAGGTCCTTCTCCTGGGCCCAAACCAAATGAAGCAACTGCTAGAGTGAGGTCCATTCTGTGGACCCTTCTTAAGAACTGCTGTTCAGTGGGGGGTTCGCCTGCTGCCTAGGTTGTACAATGTTCAGTGCCAGGTAAGAACCTTATCTTATACCTCACTGCTTTTAAGAAACCTTTACCATGTAAAGGGGTTTGCCTGGATATTTCCTGACATTTTATGGTACATTTAAACATATTTGTATTGTTGAAAGGTCTGAAATTTTATTTTTATTCTTCTCTACTAAGCTTTTATGCTGTGTTTATGAGTGGGGTGGGTGGGTGGTTATAGTTTGAGTCTGTAGTTTTAAAAATATTATATTATTGTAAGGTGCCCAGAGGTTTTCGTTACTAGGTATCATATAAATGTTAATAAATGTACAAAAGAAATCCCCAGCTTCAGAGAAAATGTAGCTTTGAATACAGTTGCTGAGGAACAGCAGCAGGGGGGTATGTGGATTTCATTCCTGTTTCCAAATCAGGCAAACACACCACACTCTTAACCCCAGTATGTGAGCACAAACATGGTTCTTGGAATGTTTCACAATTTCCTGAATTTGGCTGCATGCCTGAAAGAACATACTTGTGCAAATGTGCACTTCCGAAAATGTGCATATGGGAAGACAGATATGTCTAGAATGACGCAAATGAACATTTGCACATTTTTGGAAGTTTACATGAGCATGAGTCACCCCAAACCCACATTTTCACTCTTTAGCCTGTGGATAGAAATTCCACGTAGAGGAGTGCATGTCTGTCTGTGTCTGTGTGTGCTTGGCAGGTAGAGAATGTTTGTAACCTCTTTCCTGATGTTGAGATCTGGAGATATCAAAAGGTTTATCTTTTTTTTTAAATTTGCCTAATAAATACGTTGCACTGTGATGGACTTCAGCAGTTTACTTATGAGTTGTTTCTACTCAAATGGATTCAACGTGCTCAGTGTTTATATGGTCATATGCCAGACAGATGAACTGTGAAGGGATCAGAATGGTTGGTCCATGCTTACCATCCCCGGTCCAGGATTTTTCAACAACTGAAATGTCAGACCTTGAGTTGTACAGAACAGGTTAAATAGAGCTGGGATGAAAGCATGTTGATGGCATCTGGGGGAGAGCATTGTTAGCTACAGACTAGCATCTTTGTACTATTGGCAGAGCTTTGTGGGAAGCTAGGGCAGAGATTGTGTAGCCAGTGTCCAAAACAGCTGTATTATGTCTGGAATAGCAGGAGGCATTTGCAATGGACTTCTGGAGAAGAATGTGTCAGGGCAGGGTCTCCTTCCTGCACCCTCTGTTTCCTTCTTTTTGGGAACGGCAAACTAACCGTTGACCAATGCTGCTGTGATGCACGGACCCACCCGGATTTGTGTGATGTTATTCTTCCCTGTCTCGATGTGAATGCATGAAAGGAAAGCATGATCTCAAAATCCTCTGTTTCCACCGCTCTGGCATTTGGGACTTGCTTCACCATAAAGTTTGCCCATCTTGGGAGCATGCCAGTCCATTAAATTGATTCTATTGTTTCTCTGGATTTTATTTAATAACGACAAATGGAAAAAAAGAAATCGATCCTGAAATAATATGAAATCTATCCTTTGAAATCTTAAGCATAGATATTGTTTTCAGGGTTTGCTTTTTTTTTAGGAGTGGTGTCAGAAGAAATAGAGCTGAGCTGCTTAACTAGAGCTACTTGATTACTTCAGCAGAACTGGAGCAAAATGCTCCACGCACCTTGGGTAGCCCTCCTGCTTTAATTACGTTCTCACATACACACGCGCCTCTTCCCATTTTCTGCTGCGTGGCATAGTGATGTGTGTCCATGGGGTTGCATGCACACAGCGCTTCTCTTCCAAGCTAGGCAGAAGAAAACAAACAAACATGCTAATGCTGCATACACCCACTACCAGCATGCCCTGTTTTTACGCAGCTCGTGGTGGAGGGAATCCCTCATCTTCTCTGGCTAGTATAGAAAGCTAGCTTTGTGCCAGAAGAGAAGTGGATCAGGCCCCATGGTTCATCTGGTGCCAAGTTTTCATCCTTTCACTGCCAGGTTAGGATTTTCTTCTACTCGCAGGTATTTGATGCTGTTTGACGAGGATTTCATGTGAGTGGCTTTATCAGGTCCCATTAACTTACTGTCACTTTTTTATAGCTGCTGCAAATTGGTTTAACATTTGATACATTAACGACTTTATATTTTGCTTTTATTGTTTTGCCTTTATGGGTTGTACTTTTTGTGAACCATGTAAAGAGCTTTGGCTATTGGGCAGTACAGAAATGAAATGAGTGAATGAATGAATGAGTGAGTGAGTGAATGAGTGCAGATATCACCTTCCCTCCATCAAGGCTGTTTGCTGGAAAACAATTCTATTTTAGACCCCTCAGGAAGTAGTTCCCAGTGTTTTAAAAGCAAAATGAGTACAGCATTTGTTTCACTTGCTGCCTAGTCTTAGATGCTGCAATATTTTTCATTGTTAGCCATGAATTTCAAATGCTGAGAACTAGATTAAAGTTACATATCTTATACTGGTATTCGTAGGATTCTAGGCAAAACTGGCAGCTTCCTAGAAAGTACCTTGCTGAACCATATACAAACCGTGTGTGTGTGTGTGTGTGTGTGTGTGTGTGTGTGTGTGTGTATTTGCCTTGCCTCCCCGCAATCAGGTCCCTGCACCAGAAAGTTTGCCCCCTGATCCTTTGATGTGGGTCTGGCCCATTGGTGTTGGCTTTAACTAAGCCACCAAAGCTTATGTATTTCAAGCTACTTTTAGTAGAGATGCTGAACTGCCTTTAGACTTCCAGATATATTGGATATATTGCTGATATTTAAAAATTGTTTATCTTAGTTCTTTTAAAATTAAGTTCATGTGTGGCTACATTGTGAAATTTCTACACAGCTCACAGGGTTGTTGTTGTGGGGATAAGATGGAGGAGGAGAGATAATGTAAGCTGCCTTGAGCCCTTTGTAGGAAAAAGGCAGGATATAAATCGAAAAAATAAAATAATAAATAATAATAGTTTTGGTTTTTGTACAGATGCCACCTGATGGGGGCAGTTACCTTGAAAAGGAGCATGGCTATATCAGAAGAGACTTAAATAATAATGCTCACTGAAGGAGCAAACCTCTTCCTGGCTTGTATGATTGGTGAGGGTGGTGCAGGAGAGCAGGAAGGACTCCTTGGACTGATTGCTCCTTCATACCCTTCAGATTGCAGGGTGGGTGGCAAGCTCTTCTACCTCCCTTACATAGTAGCTCTCTGTACATGCTTTTAAACATTTGTCTTGGTATTGAAATTAATTCCCCACCTACCAGGTACATACTGAAGCAACACTTGTATCCTAGAGTAATGTATCTCAGATGGAGTCCCCCCACCTCAGTGAGAAGTAAATCTCGCAAGTTTGCCAGCTTGGTGTCAAGAACCCGCTACTTGTCAGATCCAAGCAAATGATTTCAGAGTACATCACAAACTGTCCAAGGAAGCACCCTCTCTGTGCAAAGTACTCGTGTTCCCCTTGATGCAGTCCTATGGCAACTTGGTCAAGCTACCCAGGGAGCTTGCTCAGTTAATAGGAATCAGAACAAAGCCCAAAGCCCTCTGTGGTTCAAGGAGATTAATTTTAAACCCTCAGGGGGAACATTTTTACCATTTTGTTGCTCGAGATGTGCTATAATTTCCAAGAGAGTGCTGCAGAGAGACTATTAAAATTAAGCCACCCTATTGGTCCAGGGATGCAGGTGGCACAGTGGTTTAAACTGTTGTGCCGCTGTGCAGGTTGATTGAAAGGTCGCCAGTTCGAATCTGCACAACAGGGTGAGTTCCAGTTGCTCCATCCCAGCTCCTGCCAACCTTGCAGTTCGAAAGCATGCAAATACAAGTAGATAAAAAGGTACCACTTTGGTGGGCAGGTAATAGTGTTGCGTGCACCTCGGTGTTCAGTCATGCCGGCCACATGACCACGGAGACTGTTTGGGGACAGATGCTGGCTCCCTCGGCTAGGAAACGGAGATGAGCACCGGCCCCTGGAGTCAGGCATGACTGGACTTTTTTTGTTGTTGAATAAGTTTTATTCTTAATATATAACAAAAAAGACTAAAAAGCATCAATCATCGAAATCATCAGACCTACTGGATCAGCCCCCCACATTTTTTCTTTTTATGTTAAACTATAAACATATTTAAATCTATGCGTAGTCCCATTTCTCTAGCCAATGATAAAAAGAGTCCCAGGTTTGATAGAAATCTGTATCTTCTTTCTCCTTCAGAGACAAAGTCAGTCTGTCCATTTCCACACAGTACAAGATCATGACTGGACTTTAATGTCAAGGGGAAACCTTTACCTACCTTTATTGGTCCAGGAGAACAGAATACTATTTAAAGGGTTATGAGAGCTTCGGAGTCACATACATAGTTGAGTCAACTATGCTGAAGAATTTTAGGCAGATTGCATGTTTTAAAATTATAGTATCATGGCTTTCAATCATGTTTATATTTCAGCAATGAATTCATGAATCATTGAAAAGGACATATACTTGACCAACAATATGATTAACCAGTTGGAAGTACTAGAAGTTTGTTTGTGTGGGGGGGGGGGCGGTTAAAGTGGGTTTCATACCATCTAGGAATCTCCCTGTTTCACTGCCCATCTTTGGTACAAATAACAGTATTTATAGAGTGCTTCTCTGAAATCTTTGCCACATTCCTCTGAGGCTGGGCCCTGCTTTCATCCTCAGAGAGAAGGGGATTTTGCTAAAGTGTGCCGAAGTGCCATGTCTTGCACTCTGTGTGATTTTGATTGCAGAAGCAGAGGTACCCCAGAAAGAAAAAGTGCCAATGCTTTAATCCTACCTACTTTCTTTTGCAGGCCAGGGGTTTATAAGTGATGATGAATACCTAGAGATCATGGGCATCACCAGGGAACAGTCTGGGGAGTATGAATGTACGGCAGCGAATGACGTTGCAGCACCAGATATCCGGAGAGTAAAGGTCACCGTAAACTGTAAGTTCTCAGCTTCATGTACGTTTCCTTCTGAGCAATGGTCCCCTCCCACCTCATTCTTCTGAGGGTTGTACAGAAATGGCCCTGCCAGAAATGCCTGCCTGTTGAGGTGCAGCTCAACATGTAAACAACCCACACGTTCACGAGCAATAAAACTAAAGTCCTTTATTGCTACTTGTCTACATCTGGGGTAGATAAGCTCTTCTGTTGAGGTCTTTGGAATGCAGATGTTAATCCTCTAGTGGAGTCTCTCCCTGTGCCCACATGGGACTAGCTCTCCTGGTCACACCTTTCTTCCCTCTGGTGTAACAAGGCCTGCCTTTGCTCGTACCTCCTCAGAGTTCTACAATTGGTTGCTAGGGAAAAGTCTATCATGCCCCCTGCGTCTCCTGTGTCATGTTCAGGAAGTTCAGTGTCAGTGGGAGGAGGGACAGCCTGCTCTGACTCCTGAATAGAACTCGTGGTGTCTTTTCCCTTGGGGGTCTCTTGCTTTGATGTGGGCTCGGGTGTTTGCTCAATGGGCAGGGAGTCAGGGGGAGGTGCAGCTATCTGCTCAGCCACCCCCAAGCTAGGTTGCTGGGATGGCTTTTGGATACAGGGTCCCAAGAGGTGCTGTCTCTGTTGGGGCTTCAGGCACAACACTGCCCCAAATCCTAAATAGGGTCATTCCTATAATTTCAACAGCTGAAAGTATATACCAAAAAGTAAACCAGTTAAATTCCACCATATAGTTTAAAGCTTATTATTAGCTAGGGAATAAACATTAGCAGTTTTTCTCCTCTCCCTTGCTTTCTGTGTGTCCTGAAGAGCAATTGAAACAATAAAAAAGTGAATTTGTAATGGTGAACCTTGAAGGCAACACATTAAGCAATCCAGGCTGTTCAGAAGCTGCACGCAAAAGCTGATATATACAAAATTGGTAAAAGAAAACCACATGGAGACATTTCTTCAAGGATTTGCCCCTCCAGATGATTTGCTCATCAAAAGCTTGTTAGTCAAAATATTCTGAAAACAGAAAAAAAGCAGAAAAAGCTACACAGAGAAGTGTTTTTCAAAGTCACCCTCTTTTGTATGGTATTTTATCCCTCAATTAGGGTTAGGGGAGTGCAGCAGGGTAGGGTTAGGGTTTGTAAAACAAGGTGTCCTGGCCTGATTTTGATTGTTGGAATGTATTTCAAATGGGCAGAAATGATGAGCTGTGCAGAAAAAGCTACACAAAACGCACTTTTCAAAATCACCCTCTTTTCTACGGTATTTTAACCCTATATTAGTGTTAGGGGTGTGCACCAGTGTAAGATTAGCGTAAGAAAAAAGAGCTTTCCTGGTGTGGTTTTGATGGTTGGAATGTGTTTAGAATGGGCAGAAATGTTTATCTGTTCAGACATCCTTCTCAAGGAAGGCTTTTTCAAAATCGCATGATGTTCAAAGTCATTTTTTCTGTTTATTAGAGATAGGGGTGTGCACCAGGGAACAGTTAGGGTTTGTAAAACGAGGTGTCCTGGCATGATTTTGGTGGTTGAAATGGGTTTAGAATGGGCAGAAATGATGAGCTGTGCCGAAAAAGCTACTCAAGGTAGGCTTTTTCAAAATTGCAGTATTTTTAATGTCTTTTTATCCCTTTATTTGGGTTTTGGTGTGTGCACCAGCGTAGGGTTAGGGTTCAAAAAATGAGCTTTCCTGGCATGGTTTTGGTGGTTGGAATGTGTTTAGAATGAGCAGAAATGATGAGCTGTGCAGAAAAAGCTACTCAAGAAAGGCCTTTTCAAAATCACCTCTTTCAATGGTATTTTACCCCGTTATTATGGTTGGGGGTGTGCATGAGGGTAGGGTTAGGCCAGTGTTCGCGAAACTCTGGAACGCGTGCCACAGCGGGCACGTGGAGTCCTCTCTGTTGGCATGTGAACCACATCGCCCCAACATCCCCATAGCAGCCAAGCATCGGATAACAGCGCTCATAGGGGCCTTGTGCATGCTCAGAATGGAGTAACAGCGCCAGGAGATGATGTCATGAGCCCAACTCATTAGCCGTGACTCATCTGAGCTTTTGTATTGCTGTTCGGTGCACTGCCAAGGATATATACATATATTTCCTTGGGCAGGCTGTGACTGTTTTTTCTAAAGTACAACTTGAATTTTCAGGTTTTATTGTGGTGTTTGGACTTCGTGATAATGAAGTGGTTTTTGGTTCCAATGTGGACAGTTGCTCCCTAAAAGCTAACTAAAACCCCCTTCCTGTTCATCATTGCTTCCAAATGCCCAATGCTGACAGTGCTTTCCCGCAGATAGGAAATAGTTATGAGCATGGGATGGAAGATGGGGCTGAGAGATGGACGTGGGCATGTGAGGGCATGGGGAAGCCGAATGGAGTGATGCGGAACATGAATGTACTATCAGATGTAGGAGGCAGACAGATCAATTCAAGGAAGGCTGGAGACGGAGACTCTGTGAGAGACCTACCAGCTTCTAGACCATGCTGAGCTTGCAATGACAGGATTGACAAGGGGTCAGGGAGGGAAGGAGCAGGCCAGCTCTCACGTTTCTCCCATGAGAATTGGAATGGGAATGTGACGAATCTAGATGATCCAGCACCTCCCTGAATTACCCATGGGCACATCCCTTGAAATTCACCTGGCACCAACTTTATTTTCCTTTTGGCTCCAGGCAAAGACATATCATTTTAGGAATTTTAAATACATTTAGCCTGCAAACTGTGGCCCTTTTTAATTGCTTTTATATATGTTTTTTGTTATGTTTTAATGTGTTTTCACCCTGTTAATATGTTGCATTCATTGTAAGCCACCTAGGAAGGCCTCAACATTTTAGGTTACCTATAAATACATGTCCATGAATAAACCCCTCCTTTTGCTGCTACTGGTACCAGCAGTGATTGGGATGGAGGAATCACTAAGGAAGATACTTGGGCCTGGGTCTCTGCATGCATTTGGACTACAGCTGCCCTCATTCCTTACCATTGGACACCGTGTTGGAGGTGTGGAAGGACAGACAGGGAGCCAGGACAGGGAAGTCTGGTCTAGTTCTTCTCCAGCACTTCTGGAGATCCTCACAGCTTTCCTGATTTGATTTCTGCTTTTTCTGTATGGCAACTGAATCTTTTCTGCAAGAGCTCAGGTGTTCATATGTACACACCAGGTTGTCTGAAAGACTCTGTGATAACCATCCTTTCCTCTGCAGATCCTCCATCCATCTCCAGTCCCAAGAACACTGGAGTCTCAGTTGGCCAGAAGGGAATCCTACGCTGTGAAGCCTCTGCTGTCCCTGTAGCAGAATTCCAATGGTTTAAAGAAGAAACCAGGTACTCAAGCTATCTTCAAAAGTTGTCAATAATAGTTTAGGGAAGATGGGTTTTTATGCTTGGCAAGGAATGATTTCTCTTGGCTAAGGCCAAGACTGGATGGGTGTGAAATAAAAAGAGGGCCTTCGAGTAGGCACAGGGTACCTTCAGCACTGAGGACCAGTCTCATTTGCTTACACAATTAATCACCACTTTTCTGGGTTAACTTTATAGCCATGAAGCAGGCCTTCTTCATCCAATACCTCTTCCCTTAACTTCCCAATTGCAGCGTCTATGGCTCTATGAATCAAATTAAATAATATCATCAGTTCACATCAGTTTTAGTGTAAGCATATTGGTTACCAAATGATTGGGCAATCCCAGGCATTCACTCCATGTGTTGTGTGTATAAAGCTGCCTTATGCTGTTGGACTTTTGGACCCTCTAGCTCAGTAAAGGACAGCCAGTTGCTCTCCAGACCAAATATTTTGTTACGATAAAATTCATGGCTGCCACCGAAAACTGTCATGCCTGTAGGGATGGATCTACACTAGAGCCCTTTCCATTTTTCAGTGAGTCTGTGATAGAATTTCTATTTATCACTGTCAGGGCATACACTAACGAATACAATGCAGCTTCTGGTGACACACGCAAATTCAGTTATGGGTAAAGGAGGAAGAGTTGGAAAGGTGAGAGCCGGAAATGACCTTATAAAAAAGGAGTGAGGCGGGCAGACAAAATTAAGGACCCTTAAGCTCTGTGCAAGCATAAAGGAGTGAATAAACATTTTAGAAGAAAAATCACAACATATCCTGTCTCCTCCAAGAGAGAGAGAGAGAGGGAAAGGAAAAGAAGAGATGGACGATTATATGACACTTCTTGCAGTGTCACTCCTGCCGGCCCATCAGTCACAAAAGCCACTTCTCCCCTCAGAAGAGCACAAGTTTAGCATACACTGAAATGCACACCACTTAGAATATTCAGTATATAAGCCATAGTATATCCAGTCTGATGAAATCCAGAATATAATTGCAGAAACAATGAGTAGGATGGTTTTGAGTGAGCATCATGTAATATCCCAAGGAGTTAGATGTTTCAAGGCCGGTGAAAGTGACTAGTGTAGATTACTTCTAGTTGGTCTTCTTTTCTTTTCTTCTTGTGGTGGTGTTCAGGGACTTGTGGAATATTGTGATCCTGTAACATAAACTCTACTAGATACTATGGAAGAGAGGTGGAAAGAGCCATCCTGATAGGGCAGTTGAAGTGTCAGAGTAAGACTGGAGTGACCCAGGCCCAGCTTAGCCATGAAGATAGCTAGGTGACCTTGGCTTCTCTTCTCTTCTCGCCCTTAAACACCAGATTGTCCTTCACAATGCAGTTCTTTATTGGCCTATTCACTATACCCAGGCCATCCCACAGGGCTTTTGTGAGGAAAAATGTGGGCACCATGTAAGTCCCCAGGATCTCAGATACAAGCAACTATTGCAACTGCACATTACATTTACCATAACAACAACTGTTTTGGTCCTTTGGTAGTGGTCCTTCCCAGCTCAGATGGGAACTGTGTAATCAGAGATGGTGGAGAGTGATCCAACCACTGCATAATTGCCCTGCGCCTCTAAAAGTCCCAGGAAGTAAGTAAATTCCTCTCCAGAATTGTGTGCATTAATCTAGATCCATGTCTTACCTCTTTGCAGATTAGCCAATGGGCTAGACGGAGTGAGAATCGAGAACAAAGGTCGAATGTCTACACTAACCTTCTTCAATGTCTCAGAGAAGGATTACGGCAACTATACTTGTGTGGCTATCAACAAGCTGGGGAACAGCAATGCCAGTATAATTCTGTACGGTACGTACACAGATCACTGCACTGTACAGAGTTTGCACACCTTACACCTTTGTCCTGTGCTGACGGAATGGGTGGCATAACACAGGAGCTTTGGTAGGAGGCGATAGATCAACAGGTCTGTGCAGTGAGAGCCACTCTAGCATTCCAGCCACTGAAGCACATTGCACAGGGACAGAGAGTCCAATGATGGTTCCATTGCACCTAGGCTAAGATCCCCAGCATCACTCAAAATTGGATTAAGATTGGCTGGAAACGAAGTCTTTCAGTTTCGCACTGACTGGAACATTTGGCATCTCAAGTCTTCCTATTATTAGAAACTGGCATCTTGGGGAAAATGTGTTAAGGGTAAGAGCAATTAACCCGGATGATCAAGGCAATGTCTTCTTGTGCTTTAAGGGTGTTAAAGTGGCTTTGAGCAAAGAAGCCATGTTTCAAGGGATATAACATACTAGCAGTACGTTCAATTGCGACATTCTCCCAACGATCAGGCCATGGCTGAAGTTAGGATTCAGGCCTTGATGGACATTTTGCACAACCCAAAAAGGCAAGTCTCCCACCCAAGTCAGTGCATGTTAAAACCACAGAACTTAGCCAATGCACCATCTGGAACCATATCAAAGCAAGGTATTTCCCAGTGCCATGCTATTAAAGCAGATACAAGTAGGTTCTTGCCAATGCTGTCGATCGTTAGATGATTACCAGATACCCCTGTGATAGTGTTATATGTTGTCATGCCTGTCACATCTGTACTATCATTGCTGTGATCTCAGTTTACATAAATAGGGTCATGTTTTTTAATAATCCATCTGTTTGTTTGTTCATTTGTTCAACTGTCTGAAAATATGAACTACATTTTCCCCTTTCTTTTCCCCCCCTCCTTCTCCCTTTTTTTTTTCTTTTTCCTTTTCTTTTCCTGTTTCTCTCCCCTCCTTGTGTGGCCATTTTGTCTTCGGTTTTAGAAATAAATGAACCTCCGGCACTGGCAGGTTGGTACAAGCATGGTTCCTTCCTTCATTTGCTTGCAACATACCAAATGCCGCTTTGCCGTGTAAGGGAAGGGCTCTTTGCCAGGCAGGCATCCATGTATAGTAACTTCTGGCTGATATCTTCTTGGAAGGAAGGAAAAAAGGCAGTGCTGAGAAATGCACACATGCAAACACTTCAGGAAGAGGGCATCTTTCCATAGCAGCTCCTTTATGGAGGTGAAGACTGTCAATGGCTACTAGTTGTCCTGATAAGTGTGATTTAGAAACATAGAGTGAGTCAGAAGGGGCCTCCTGGGACATCGAATCTGACCCCTGGCTCTAGCCAGCTCCACTCATGACATGCCTACCATGTGCCTGTCCAGCCTAGCCTCAAACACCCTCACTGATGGGGCTTCAGCCCCCCCCCCGCCCCCCGTGGAAGCCCATTCCACACCCGGGGGTCCTAACTATCAGGAAGTACTTTCTGGCAACCCTGAGCTTTGCTCCACTGGAATGCATTTTGCCCTCCACTGCAGGGGGAAAAATGGTCATGACCCACCTCTGCGTGGCTCCCCCTCACGTACCTGCATGTTGCTAAGAGGTCCCCTCGGAGTCTCCTCCCATCAAGGCTGAAAAGGCCCAGCTCCCTCCGTTGCTTCTAATATGGCTTCCCCTGCAAACCAGCCACCATCCTAGAGGCTCATTTGCAAGAACATGTTGCATTATATCTCCCGCTCCTGTTCAGGTTTCCTACCAGCCACCCTTCATCCAGGATTCTGTAAAGTCTAAAAAGCTCAAGCAGAGCATCTCTCCACCACTCAAGCTAGTTCTCCGATTTCCTGAGTTTTACTTCTAAAAGCTAAATATAGAGGTGACTGATGAGGGAAGGCACTGGATGAGTAAGGAGAAAACTAAAATATGCAAATAACAATTCCTATACGTAACGTCACACATGGACACTTTGTCTCTTACTCGTTTGTTTTTCAAAGGGATGAGAAATGATTAAGAGAGAAATGAAAAAGGAATGGGAGAGTTAAGAAACGTTAAAGGAGGGATGAGCAACTTGTGGCCCTCCAGCCATTGTGGACTGCCCTATCATCCCTAGCCAGCAAAGCCAGTGGTGAGGTATAATTGGGGGTTATAGCTTTAAAAAATAATTCAGAGCAACATAGGTTGCCCACCCTGCTGTCCAAGGAGGATCAAGTAAAGTGTGGATGAAAATACCAGGTGTCCAGAAGGGAAAGGGAAGCGAACGAGGAGTAGGTACCTTGTAAATAAAGATGCTGTAGGCTAACTTGACCTGTTTTTCCCTGGCAAAATAGCTGGCTGATATTAAACTGAAGCGGCCACACTCCAGATGTAGAGTGCCCAGGGCAACACCTTCTCCTTGAGGATCTCCTACTACATTTCAGAGGAACTTCCGTGCCCTTAAAGGATGATCTGAAGAACACTGTGCTTTGCATATTGATAGAGCTGGCCTCCATCTGCCTTAATGTCTAAGAACCCTGAGGACATGATAACTATGATGAAACTCTTCCAACCTCTTCCTTGCTTCCCTTTGTTTGCAAAATTGAGCATGTTTAGCCCTGAAAAGAGAACACTGAAGGGAGGTATGATTGCACCCTTCAAATGTTTGAAGACTGTCACACAGATGCAGGTTAAGATCTCTTCTTGATCATCCCAGAGTATAGGACACAATAATGGACTCATGTTACAAGGAGCCAGATTCTGGCTGAACATCAGGGAGAACTTCCTGACTGTTAAAGCAACACAACAATGTAAGCAATGACCTAGTGATGTTGCGGTCTCTCCCACAGAAAAGACAACCAGGATGCAGATACACAGTCCTCTGAGGGGGATGGTTTAATGTGTAGTCCTGCACTGAGCACGTTGGACCCCATGGACTTCTTATCCCCTTCCAGTATTCAATGATATCATGATTCTATGAGCCCTTTGTCTTCAAGAGACTGGCAGTGATTCAAGCCCAGACTCAACCATACTGCTGAACTCCCACTGTTAAGTTATTCTTTAGATTTTAGGCTCCGGATGAGTTCTGGTTTGTTAACACTGTGTTTCATTTTATTTAAAAGCAGCTAACCCTTCCCAAGCTGCCCAGTACAGGAGAGGCAGAAAGCCAATATTCAGAAGTTTTGAGCTTCATCCCCCAGCATTCCTTACCCCTGCCCATGCTAGCAGGGATTTCTGGGATTTGAAATCTAGAACACCTGGAGAGGCACCTTCTGCCCACCACTAGCCAACACCACTTCATACATTGTCACACTTTTAAGGATTTTAAAGAAAGGTTGGGCTCCTTAAGTATTGGCCACAAGCTTGGACTCTTGCATGTTCAGGATAAGGGCTGCTATTAACCACATCCTCTGCCATGGTACAGTTGGTACCTTGCAGCCAGTTCTACTCTACAGGGCCAGAGGTACAAGCTTCCACTTGTCACAGCAAGGTTTATTTTTGGATTGTATATTCACAGTCGTCAAGAATTTAAGTGCCTAGTATACCACATATCAGTATGAAGATGCTTTTACCTTGTTTGTCGATGGTGCAGGGAAAGCTTTCAGACTCTGCGGATGCTGGCAGGGGCATTTGCAAGGCATGTTTTAGAATGCCCATATCCATGAAATGGATTGTAAGACACATGCTAGCTTGAAAAGAAACGTTAGCTGATTTAGAGAATGAAAAGATGACCTACGCAGTTGGGCATATTTCCAAAGCCTGTAATGCCACCAACGAAAAGTACCAAAGTCAGGCATGGGAAGGGGAATAGAAGTGATACAAAGAAAAACAAGTACCAGAATAACTTCAAACCATGCATGAGATCAAGTGGAATGATCCCCAGTATTAATCTGTGAATCTGAAATGTGGCTAGTGCAGCGAGATGGCACAGTGGGAGAGAGAAGACAAAGTCCTGTAGCTTGACCCAAGGAAAGGGAGGAAGAAGGGGAGGGGAGAGGATGAGTTTGCTGACTGTACAACGCTTGACTATGACACCCTGCTCAAGGCCAAGTATCTTGAATCACAAGACAGGGCGGAGGGGAGGAGCAGATTTCTTAAGAGCATAAGCAGCATAAATCTCTCCCATTTCTCTATGGGACCTTTCAGGTTAAAAGAAAAGAAAATTCTGAGCAATTTTATCTAGTGGCTGTCAACAAGAGGATTAGCATTTTATGAGCATTGTTTGGAAGGAGGAAATACCCAGAAACTTGGTTGGTTGCCCACAAAACACTCCAACAGCATCTATGCATCTGTATAGGCTTTATCTTCCCGTGTGTGTGTGTGCTTGCATGCCATTTATTTTGTGAAAAGCCCATGTGCAAAGAGCCCTAGTTCCACTTCCCATGACAAATGTCTTACCCGCATCTGAGGGTGTTATGAGTCCCAGCCTTCCTCTCATGCCTGAAACTGGGATGAGCAGAAGCGTCATCTGGGCTATCGCCATGCATCTCTGAGGTGCTGGGAGCAAACTGGTAGGAGGTCAAGCTTTAGCTGTCCTTCTGTGCTTGGAATGCAGGATCATCCAAGAGCTGTGCTATATTTTGAAGGAGCAGTGTACCTTGCTCCCAATACACACAAGCATACAAACACAGAAAGGTGGGAGGTGCTCATGTTGCACTCGGCTCTGGGGACCTGCGTCCACCTGCTCCCACATCTTCTGGATGTGAGGTAGGCTCTCTGTGCCCCTGCCTTTCTATGCCACTTCCAAATGTCACTATTTGCAAGATGAGGAGAATTCTAGAAACTGCTTTGGTTGCCTACCAAGGCTACCGCAGATGTGATATACCTTTGCCCTGGATTGTGATTGCCAGGTTTATTCTTGGCTTACATCTGAAATATAGACTTAAAACTTTGGCTATCCTGTCCTCCACCGTCTCCCAGGGCCCATGCAATCCCACCACCCCAGTGACTCTGTCCAGGCACCTCGTCCTCTGCATCCCCTTCCCCTTTTGCCATCAATCATTCCCAGCATCAAGATCTTCTCCAATGAGTCCTTCCCTCTCACTGGGTGGCCAAAGTATTTGAGCTTCAGCTTCAGCATCTGTCCTTCTAGAGACCAGTCAGGACTGATTTCCTTTAGGATTGACTGATTTGATCTGTCTGCAGTCCAAGGGACTCCACCACCATAATTCAAAAGCATCAACTCTTCACCACTCAGTCTTCCTTATGGTCCAACTCACACAGCCAGACATTACAACTCACCTTAGCTCCCTAGAAAGCCATGCCTCAGTGGCAACATAGTTCAGCCCAAGAATTCTCAAGATCCTCACTAAACCACAGTCCCTAGGGTTCTAGTCCCACCATGTGGGGATAGAGTCAATGGCAAATTCATAAAGTATGCCTCTACGATGCAAGGGTGAGGGGTGGAAATCCAACTCCGTTCATAATATAAGCTAACCACTGAAAGCCTTTTCCAAGCAGGCACAGATCCTGCTGCCTGACTCCCTGCCCTTCTGTTTTTATATAATCTGATGATGGGTTTCTCCACGATAACCTTGAAATCCACCATATAAACCCCTTCCAGTCAAGAGTACCTGAGCAATAAAAATCTGCTCACCTCTTGGAAGCTGGCAATTAAATCATCTATTCTGTATTTTCCACTAAAGCATGAAGGCCTTTCCTTTCCTTTATTCTATTTCCTTTCCTTCTTCAAATAGGAATCCCTTCTCTCCCCATCTCCAGTTTTGTTACAGAAGAGGAAGTGAATCACACTTCCAGCATTCTTTTGGCTGACAGCAGCACCAATGAGTTCTGTTATATTTTTCACAACCTGCAAAATGTCAACCCATTAAAAAAATATGCAGACATTTCACATTTTATTTCTGCGTATTCTCTCCCCGCACCCTCCAAAATCACTGGCATCTGGTTATTAGTTGGAGCATTCCTAGTTCTGACAGAGTCAGTTTAGTGATTGCTAATGTCAGCAAAGAGGTTGCATTGTGTTCTCCCCCTACCCTGCCACACACAGTTCTTTGCAACATTAGTGCCATCTTTGGCTTCAGACTTGAATTGGC